CCTCTCTTCCCTTCCCCCACTTGTGTTGTCCCCCCCCCCACTCAAAAATAAACATTTAAAAAATTAAAAAAAAAAAACTTGGTTTTTGGTGTGGCTTTTCACCAGAGTTAACGGTTTCTAGCACCTTGGGATTTTGCTTGGTGGGTAGGGTAGCATTTGTTTTGGAGCTTAAATACTTAGTTCCCCATTAGGAACATGCAGGAGGATTTCTCAGAGGAGGTACATTTCATCCACTCCTTCATTTTATATTAACTTAAAAAAAAGATGGATAAAATTTTCTCAGCCTTTTGCTTTTGAGAGGGAGGTGGTGGTGGTGAGGGAACGTTGAACATGAGTCTGTGAGAAGTAGAAGCAAATGTAATTCATCTCTCATGGTCTGCTGTTTCCCTGGTGGAGAGGGTGAGTACTAGCTAATGTCACTGGCTCTACCATGAGCTTCATCCACTCTTCCAGTCAGGTTTGGAACAAATATTTATCGAGGGCCTCGATTGTCACAGGCAGTGCTCTAGTTGCTTGAGATTCTCCAGGAACAAAACGGACATCACCGCCCTCTTAAGAGTTTGCATTCTGGTTTTGCAGCTCTGGGCCTTAGAAGGTGAGGAGTTGTGTATGTGGAGGAGTGGAAGAAAAGTCATAGTTGGGTGAGATGAGCTGCTTTCAGATAAAGTGATCTTACAAAAGAAATAAAAGGCAATGAGGAAAGTGGATTGACCTATAAACTTTGGCTCACTGGTTAAAGTACATGGAACTGAGAAATTAGGCTGTCGTTGGCTGTTGATCCTGTGGATCTCTTAGGTGAAGTGGGCCGGGTGTTCTCACTGTGCACCTCACACGACTCTTGTATGGCACGTGGATTTTTTTGTTTTTGTGATTTCAGATTCTTACGTCTTTGGCATAAGAATACATATTGAATATGATTCAAATGTAAATCAGGTGAATATCAGTCTTGGCCCATATAATTTAATCTTGCCATTAATCCTTGACATGATTCACTTAATTTGGGCACAGCATAAAATAATGTCAATTGATTAAGTTTTACTTTGGTGACAATTAGAGATAGAATGAAGCCCTTCAAGAGGGGCGGGAATCTTTGGTTGGTCTTTCAGGGGTGCTGTATTCCTGGCTCAGGCTGTCCTGCAGACCAGGAACCAAGATTTGAAGATATAGCCTCTGATCCAGGTGGGTGTAAGTCTATCATGGACCCATCTGTATCTCATTTAGGCCTAAGGGCCTTCTTATGCCAAAAGCAATTTAATGGTTAGCTGTGGAGTCATGAGTAGTCCGGTCCTGTCTCAGAAGTCGTGAGGTTAGTGCTTTGCCTTTAGTCCATAAGCTCTTGAGGGTTCCTGAGTACCAAGCACTCTGCTGGATTGTGGAGCCGTGAGATGGCTTCTCAGGAGCACATGTTTTGGGGGGAGGCTTGAGAAGTCACAAGACTGCCTCGCGATGTGGTGCGTGGAGCATATGAGTGAGCCCAGGATGGAGGCTAGCGAGCGAGGTGAGGGCAGGTTGCAGCAGGGCTTTAGTAGCCAAGGGAGTTTGGATTTTGTTCTAAGCCATTAGAGAGTTCTATAGAACTCTGTACATGGGGAAGGCAGATTAGCATCTTTGAAAGGTCACTCGTGTTCCGTGAGGATAGAACATAAGCATGTTGATACTGTTAATCCTAATTCTTCCTCTCTAGCCCTGCTAAGGGTTGTTCCTATAGTGCTTGCTAGTTTGAAAACAAGGTGTGGTACTGGCCTCATCTTGATGAAATACAAAATGCCTTTCTTAGTTTCCTCTCAGTCTGCACCTCTGCCCCTCTTGCTCTGCAGCCACGTCCAGCTTGTTTGTCTAGTAAGTCGTAAGTCCTAAGTCCCGTCAGCAAGCACAGCCCAGCGGCACTCACAAAAAAATGGCATGTTCCCCCCTCAGGTCCTTCTAAGGTCCCCTTACTCTTACTTTCTACCCACTTATCCGCCTGTTCTTCATTTGCTCTGTAAACTTTGGGGTACGCCCTTGGCTTTGTGTGTGGGTCCTGCATCATCTGTCTCCTCCCCAGTTTCAGCACTGAGGTCTCAGCCAGGTCACAGGATATTCAGAGGGGAAGATGCTTGCTTGAGTCTTTTCTGGCTGCAATAACAATGCCGCAGACTGGGTAGCTTGTAAACAGTGGAAAATTATTTCTTACTGTTCTGGAGGCTGGAGTCTGAGATCAAGGGGTCAGCATGGTTGCGTGAGGGCCCTTTTCTGGGTTGCAGATTTCTCCTTCTGTCTTCACATGGCAGAGGGGACAGGGAAGCTCTCTTGGGGCCTCTTAGATGAGAGCGCTAATCACATTCATGAGGCCTCCACTTTCATGACCTAATCACTTCCTAAATGACCCACCTAGTACCATGACCTTGAGGTTAGAGTTCACCATAGGAATTTTGGGGGGACCCATTCAGACCATGGCTAGACTAGGCAATTTGGAATCACTAGATGCCTGCTGGCCCAGCCTCTTAATGTTTATTCCTTATTACCTCTATCTAGGACAGTTGTTGGAGAAGTTTTCTCAAATTCTAATGGTGGCTGAAGATCTTCGTTTACTCTTAGAGTAAGAGTTAAATTTATCTGTTGTGAGCACCTTCACCTACCTGGTCTTTAGTCTTTAGTATGACCTACCTAAATTTCTACTTTCAACTTAGGGAAGGAAGACTGGAAGGGAAAAAATTGAGCATTTATGATGTGATAGACCTTTATCAAATATGATTTTCAATGTTTGACCCATAAGCTCTCATATAATCTTGAGAGGCTTGTGAAATAGGGAGTAATATCTTTACATGTCAGTTAACAAATATTTACATATCGATTAACAAATGTTTGAGCACCTGGTATGTGTAGGCTCTGGGAAAGGAGGCTCAGAAATGTTAAGTAACTTGACCAAGGCCGTATAGCTTGTATGTGGCGAAGCTGTGCTGTAGTCCCAGATCCGTGGGACTTCAAAGCCTGTGTTCTTTCCAGTGCGGCCCTCTGGAGCACCTGCTCTGTCCTGGCCCAGTGTTAGAATGAGGGATGGAGAGATGAGGAGGGCAAGATCCTCCCCTTGAGGAGCTCTCTGCAGGGTGGCACAGCCCAGACATAGGAAGCCATTGTGTATGTTGGCTCTCGAATGACAGAGCTTTCCTGTGTGATCGTGGTTCCTGCATATTCACCCGGCAGATGTCCAGCGCTCGGGTGGTAGTCCGTGCTAGCGCTTGGAGGTGCGAAGAATAAGGCCGTGGTTGAAGCACTGAAAAGTCATTCATCACTGAGCATTGTGTGGAGTGCTGTAACAGGGGTATTTAAAGTACTGAGAGTCAGAGGGATGAATGACTAACCATCGACAAAGTCCTCACGGAAGAGGTGCCCTCGCTTGCATTTGCTCCAGCACCTTTCTTCATTCCCGGGGACTTGGGTGTATGGAGAAAGCTGGGAGATGATGCTTGGAAAGAAGCTTGGGGTTGAGCCTGTGAATGGCTTCCGATGTCATGCTCGGGAGGTGGGGATGTATTCTGTGGGCAAATGCAGCACGAAGGGTTTTAAGCAGAGGCGTGATGGGGCGCCTGGGTGGCTCAGTCAGTTAAGCGTCCGACTTCAGCTCAAGTCATGATCTCATGGTCCATGAGTTCGAGTCCCGCATCAGGCTCTGTGCTGACAGCTCAGAGCCTGGAGCCTGCTTCAGATTCTGTGTCTCCCTCTCTCTCTGCCCCTCCCCTGCTCGCACTCTGTCTCTCTCCCTCTCAAAAATAAATAAACATTAAGAAAAAATTAAGCAGAGGTGTGAGGTTGCCAGATTTTAGAATTCCTCTGGTGCACTCTAGAGAAAGGATGGGAGGGAGTAGGCAGGAACTGGGTAAGAACTGTTGGCAATTGTGCAGGTGGGTGAGGACTAGGGCTGGAACAGCATCTCCACTGAGTCTTTGCCCCACCTTCAGAGATGGATAATTCACCAAGCCATGCTGCCAGGAAAAATGAAATCTCTCCTTTAAGGAGCCAGGTTGTTGGCCTTTTCTGTTGAACTTTCTGCCTAATCTTTACCTTTATAGCCTCCTATTCTGAAAGTCTTCAGTAACCTGGATCCATTTCGGGTCCTCACGGCCTTTGACATCTCAGCCTTTGCTGCTGTTTCTCAGTTTTCATATTTTTGCCATTCTCCTTTGGTTTCCAGGATATTAGGGGGTACTTGAGTTTGCGTCCTAGTTCTGCCACTTACAAGGCATATGGCAGTTTCCCTCTGTACAAGAGGGATGACAGCTGTGGCATCTCTGAATTGTAAGTCACAAGGTAACACAAGGTATGTTATTTGAATTCTAACACTTTTTTCTCCCACAAGGATAGTCCTGGTCTTCTTTACCAGGATGGGCAAAATGGTGGTCCATAAGCTGAATGCGGCCTGCTGGGTCCTCAAAGTACCCAAAATTTTGGAAATTGCACATTAAAAATATATGCCTCCTGTCCAGACCTCTGCCTTGAACCGGGGACTTGAGGGACCTTCTTCTCCTTCCCTACTTTCTACTCCCTTTTCCTGTGTTATTTTTCTCTCTGGCACTTTTCACTCTCTAACATATATATTGCCTTTATTTTGGTTTTCCCTTTGCTCACCAACTAGAATGTAAGGTGCAGTAAGCACGTGTTTTGGTATGCTTTATTGAATGCTAAACCCCCAGATCCAGAAGCGTGCCTGCTAGCATATAGTAAGTGCTCAACAAAAAATTGCTGACTGGATGAAAAAATGAGTTAAATTTGAGATTTCTTGTTTTACTTGGAAAACCAGAATCTTTAACTCTGGATCTGTACTAACAAGCGGTGGCAATTGGTTTGAGATGAGGAGCTGTGACCCATCAGACAGTACAGGGTCTCCTCTGTTTGCTGTCGACCTTGTCTTTCCGTGCTGTCCTACACCTGCCATGGGCCAGGGGTTGGAGGGCGAGGAGAGGGGTAGCTCATGGTCCAGGGAGAGGTAGAGAAGTCAAAGAAGGGATTTGGAGCCTTCCAGGATGAATAGTAGTTTGTGAAATGTGAAATGAATACTAAGGCAAGGGTATTCCAAGCAAAGGAGATTAGATTTGCCTATAAAGGTATATAAGAGGGTGTGACGGGGATGCTGGAGGCTGGCAGGTGGTTGGTGGTAGAGATGCGGGTGGTGGAGAAGCAGGCTGGGAAGTTGTGGCTGTGCCCTGTAAGGCAAGCCCAGGGAACCTCCAAGTTCATTTTTAACATTTGTTAGATTTTCTCAAATAAGGAAAGGTACCAAAAAAATGGTTTATAATCTCCTTTCCCAGATAATCCCTGAGACAATTAAAAAAAAAATGTTTACCATGTTAGAAAATTCAGAGGTTCAAAATGAAAGTAAAAACCACCTTTCCTGTCCATTTCGTCAAAGCTAGTAGATGCCAACAATTTGAGTACTGCTAGTAAAAAAATAGCATGCCATGTTAGTGTCTAGATTTATATATTTCAAAAGCCTTAAAAAAAAAAACAGACAACAACCAAAGATGATATATGCTTCCTGGAAAGAGTTCAAATAATATGAGAGGTGTGTAAAATAAGAGGGTAAACCTCTTTATGTAACCACTCGCTTCCTGATGGACAGTAGAGAAAAAGTATCAGCGACCTTAGTGTGGAGTTCTCTCTCTGTCTATATATTTGAGAGGAATTTAATGCAAATGAATTAGAACAAGTTGTAGGGACTATAGAAGGCCTTGGGATAATGGTCAATCTAGGTCCTGGCTGGGAAGGTTTGGACTTCATTGCTTTTGAGATGATTCTAGAGGAAGATGTGTTGAGTGTTCTTACCCCAGGCTGGGATTAGACTGGATGCATTTCACAGTAAATTAACATTGAGAACAAATAGTGTAGCTCCTGGAATGAGTGAGTGCTGAGGGGAAGGAAAGAAGGGACTGAGACTTGACCTGTGTCTCTGAGGAGATTTGAGGTTGGGGGTAGTTATAGTCTCTGGACTGACCCTGGTGCATTCTCTGGGAGACGAGACACCTCCCAGCACCAAGGTTTTGATTTGGGGGAAGGAGTTTGCAGAGAATTTCAATAAGGCTTGCACCCTGCCCTCAGGACTTGGGAGATTGGAGTCTATCGCTCCCTGGGTCCTTAGGTCTCTTGGACTCTTAGATGTGGGATTGGGTTAATTGAGCCTTTTATTGCTGAAATTTTGGAGTTCTCTTTTGTGTATGTGTGTTCTGAAGTGTTTGGTGGTAGTCCTTGGCCTTAAGGAACTTACATTCTAGTGTTTTTAGACTGTTTATCTCTCAGTTCATTCCTGCCCCCTACAGTATGAGCGTATGATCTAATGAGCGGTAGAAAGTGAATAGTAAGAAATGGCAGCAATTCAGGCCCTTTTACAGTGGTACTTCTCAATAGGTTGGGATGGAAACCACCTCCAGGAGAGAATCTTTGTCTTAGTCACTGTCACTTTGCCTATGATTGGTTCAGCCACCACTGATTTATGATTTGCTGAGTCCTTGCTATATGAAATCGCCCTTGGGACAACCCTTTCATGATCTGTGATTTTTTTTTTTCCCCCCCTTCCAGGTTGATTCGAAAGATAGTTCTCGTAACTCCACAAACTCTGAATTTGCAGCCAAAGCTGAGGGTCAGAATGACACAATTGAGGAACCAAACAAGGTCCAGAAAAGGAAGAGGGATAGGTTTCGAGACCAAGGCTCTACAATGATCTACCTGAAGGCTATCCAGGGCATCTTGGGAAAGTCGATGCCAAAAAGGAAGGGAGAGGCTTCCACTAGGGCCACACCAAACACAAGGGAGCGTCCCAGCCGTGGAGAAGGGCCAGCCAGGAGTGCCACTGTGTCTCCTCCTCAGAAAGGGAAAGAGTCAGCCCCAGAGGTAAGAGCAGAGGAGGAAAAGGCTGTGCTGGAGAGGACCAGCTTCTGCGACAGGAGAGTGGTGATAGACCCTCAGGAGAAACCCAGCGAGGAGACACCTGGTGACCGAAGGACAGTCATTGACAAGCATTCTCCACCTCTGCAGTTTTTGGATGACTCTGACTCTCATTTAGAAAGCCAGAAGGTGAGTTGAGCTTACACCAAGCATTAGGTTTTTAGTTCTCTTGATTTTATGTTATTTGGCCTTTGTAGTTTGATCCTAGGTGTTCTTCGTTAAAAGCAGCACTTGACTTACCCAGGATTCCAGGACAAATTGATGATTCTCTTCTAAAATACTTCCAGAGTTTCTAAGAAGTCTCAATACAGTGCTGAGTTTTCTTTCTTTAAGATTTTATTTTTAAGTAATCGCTGCACCAAACTTGGGGCTCAAACTCACAACCCTGAGAGCAGGAGTTGTATGCTCCACCAACTGAGCCAGCTAGGCACCCCCCAACCTTTTTTTTTTTTTAAATGTAGACTTTATGTTTGTTAGGATGTGTGTGCCTGCCCTAACAAAATGGATAATGGCTTAAAGAAAATAGAAACTTGGCTTCAGAAGAATGGCTTCGTAGTTTCAGGGACACTGGTGCCCTCTGTCTTGATGCCCTGCCCCCTCAGCTCAGTTTCTATCTGTGACCTGAGTTGGCTACTCTGAAGGGAACCTGAGTACATTACATTGACATTCTAGCCAGTAGGAAGGGGAGAAGAGCAGAGGAAAGTACACTCCCTCTCTTTTAAGAACTTGGCTCAGAAGTTGTCCACATCATTTCTGCTTTTATCTATTGACACGAATCTAGAATCCTGGCCAATGCCTAGCTGCAAGAGACTCTGGAAAATTAACTTTCATCTGGGAGATTTACACCCAGATCACCTTTATTGCTCTTGAAGGAAAGAATGGTATTGGAGGGACACTAGCAATTTTTAACACAGTTTATAATTGGGGGGAAAAGCATTCCTCTGTTGTACCCATCTCTGCTTATCCTTTACTTACGTCTCTTGAGTAGCAGCTCCTTGAATCTCTTTAACTCTTTCTTCTAGTATCTCCATATTTCTCAGTGATCTTGCACTGTGTATTGATTTTCTAGTTGTAGACATCTATGGACGTGCTATGCAGAAGACGAGAATTTAGTTTGCTGCGCTAACTTTGGCACCACCACACCCATGAACCTGTTACCTCTTCTCCTTGCAGCTCCCTGTGTTGTTGTCATACAATTTCTGGCTAAATCTATTGAATATTTGTTATTCCCATGTTCCTAGCCCGAATCATCTAATATACTCTGATTACATTTTTTGTTTTGTTTTATTGTTTATTTTTGAGAGAGGCAGAGTGTGAGCGGGGGAGGGGCGGAGAGAGAGGGAAACAGAGAATCTGAAGCAGGTTTCCGACTCTGAGCTATCAGCACAGAGCCCGATGCAGGGCTTGAACCCATAAACCGTGAGATCATGACCTGAGCCACCTGGGTGCCCCTGATTACATTCTTATAAAAAGTTTATCTTCCTTTGAGAGCATCACTGCCTTGTTTTTTCCCTTTAGTTTTCTTCATACCTGTCACTAATTCATCCCCAAACTGCTAGTGCCATAAAATTCTCCTCAATATTGTCAAAATAAGTAATCTCAGTTTTCTTCTTCCCTGTACTTGCCTTAGTTGTTGCCTTAGAATTCCCCCTTTTCCTGTTTCCTTTCATTTTTGCTTTCTTTGTGAGTAATTAAGGTAGGTGTATATAATACTTACTGCC